CTTCTTCTTCTTCTTCTTCTTCTTCTTCTTCTTCTTCTTCTTCTTCTTCTGATCAACTAGTTCCTGGAACTCACATCTTCGCTTGTATCGGCAATATATCTACTTTAAAGATTGAGGGGCGCTAGCCACAAAGGCGGTGATATTATAATAGCAATCTTCCCAGCCTCAGGAAGGGCAGACTGCGATTTCATCCACGCACCGTAGCTGACTGATTCTCTGTTTATTTATTTACGGTAAATCCACTCCAAGACGTTTCTACTTAAGTAGTATGTGCACAATACCTTTGTGTTTCACAAATAGCCAGATAACTGTTCAGCGGCAGATTTAAATGAGATAACCTGTCTAATATGGAAAACTCGGTAACCTCTGTGCGTCCGGACCGGCTCTAACCATCTGAGCCACGGAGCTCCGACCGAGAGCCATGAGTTTTTCACATTCGGTAGATCAGAGTACTTATATTTGTCAGAAGGTGAGTCTGGTAGTCATCTGATGAATTCTAGATGGATTGTTTGGCAAATCCTGCCTGGACGTGTTAGAATTAGTGGACTCCATGCGGTGCAGTCGGTTGACGAAGCAACTTAGCCCAATTGTGACAGTCTTATCGAGGCAAGATGATAGGGAAGACAGAATTATAGGAAATCTTTACTGAGGCAAGGACGCATACAGACGAATCAAGGTTCTTGATCGAAGCCTTGTGGTTCAAGTGCCTAGAGCGTTTACTGTTGCACTTTCGAGTCGCCGATGTCGTCTAGTTTTCAAGACTTAAGTTAGTCGAAATAGGCGACTCTTCCAATGGACAATTGTAAAAGGCGACCCGATTTAACCCTTTAAAATGAAATTTGAGTTAATGAAAAGCGAAATATAAATACTAACTGATCGGTCCTCTTCCTAAGCAGAATTAAATGGACGGGGAAGTTTAAACAAAAGAGCATTCCAGCCGACAAGTCGTAGTACCTTAGGGTAGTAACTGATTCTTCCAGTTACAGGATTTTATCTTTTTAGTTATTAACCTTTAAGAAAACCTAGTGTTCTCTAAAGAATCTGCTCGATTGGATGCTTATTCTTATTAATTTAAGCAAACTGACTGCTTTTAAGCAAGCACTACAAATTTGGAACAAAATATACACCCTCTACGTGGCAAAGTTACGCTATTTGAATGTTAATGAGTGATCGAAAGTTTTCTCTGCAGGAAGACAGCCCGCCACAGTGCAATTATTGACGTGACATTTGGATCTCTTACTCTGTTACGCGCCATCTTGAACAGTCATATTACACCCTTTAATTGCCACATGTTTTGCTGCTAATTTTAGGTCACCCAATTTCGGCAGACCTCTCAAACTGTCCTTTACATTTAAGCAGTCAATCCTATGAAAACGGTAGTCACAGAAAAAAGACATATTTTTGGAAACTAAACGAGGCGTTGTCCCCTACTTCGTCTTGGCTGACTATACCAAAACGCACCAACTCATCTTAGCCGTCACTGACTGTGAGCCAATTAAACAGCATCTCTTACTACCTGCGCGCTGGTGAGGGAATTGGTTGCTGTAGCAGGCCGACAACGCAAGGTGGGTCGTGCTCTCTCACACACAGGAGTGGCATTTGCCAACCTGGCGCGCCTACAGATTGACATACACCGGCCCGTCTCGCCGCGAACTGCCAGGGTAGGACTTCAGTACACGCAATCAATTAGCGAGGGGTGTGACCCCGTAGACCAGATGAAGACAGTGACAACGAAAATCAATTGGGCCCACCTTAAAACACCAGGCTTCAGGACTGGGGATTCAGACATTGCTGTCTGACTACGGTTCTCTTGTCTTCGTTGCGATATTAGTAGTTCTGTGCGATTCTCAATGAGCATACAGGATGAAAAATACTGACAGTTAGTTTCCTAATTTTCGCTCTTCTTCAAAGTAGTGGAACGTGAAGGGTAGGGCAGAGGGTCTATCAAACATCGGTCGAATATCGGTGGAGACCACATACAATTCAGCAAATCTAGTGTTTCGAGTTCCAACAAAAACAACCATTTCCCAAGATTTCCAGAAGGATCAGTGACACCAGAATTGGATCCTAACTTAGATATCCGGGTAAGGATAAGGTATATGATCAATGTATGTTTACTATCGAAAATTGCCAACAATGTGTATATATATATGGGTAAAGGTTCAAGGTCCAGATATTGTGTCGCGTTCATCATCCTCCGAAGAAGACGAAGAAGAAGGCAAGGAGAATTTATGGACCAAATTGTATTTGAACGGACGTTTCGGAAACCCTCTCGTTTCCATCATCGGAGTAATGTGTTGGCTGTTCCTGCTGGCCTTTATTGCTTCAGCCCTGATACCTGTCTGGTATTATATCCGCGCTCGCCGCCGATAAGCGTTGACCTCTCCGCGATTGACCGCCGGTGGGCTCGTGTCACCTCTGACCCCTTTGCGGCCGTCGTAAATGTTGGCGGGCCAGCATGCTTGTCGACCGCCCCTCGTCACTCAACGGGCTGATCAGTTGTTGGGGCTCATGTGAGTTGATATCAGCCCCGTGGGCATCGCGGTGAGGTGATGTCCCATGCTGATCGCATGACCTCCGGCCGGCCCCTCTCCTATTTTCCGCTGTCATCGGCTGTCAGCCACGGGTGACGTTGCTCGACTGCCCTGATGGCCTTGTCCGCATTGACTCGGGCCTTGTGCGTAGCGCCTGGTAGGCGGGATTCAGATCCACGACTCTGTTAAGTGTGCCATTCGAGGACCAACTTTCGAGCATCAGTCTGGCCATCTTACCATTGGCTCGGCTGATTACCCTTGCCTTCTCAAAGGCTAAATTGTGGTTCTTCTGTTTAACGTGGCCATATACCATAGACAGCTTGTCCTTGCGGTTGATTGCAAACTGGTGCTCATGCAATCCTGTGCCAAGACGTTGCCGGTTTCACCAACACACATCACATCACAGTTTTGGCATGGTATGCTGTAGACCATCGCTGATTGTTCTGTCACCGGTAGCGGATCTTTGGGCCTCATTATTTGCTGTCTGATTGTTGACTCTGGCTTATGACTTCGGGTTTTCTCCGTCCGACAGCTCAAGGTGGGGCTTCCTAAGACACTTGCGTATGAAGGACTCCAGATAACCGTTGATTTTAAATAAAGCGTGCA